AGAGTATTTTGAATGCTTAAGTGGCGCTCATAAAATCGCTTACTAAATATTCTCCAGGTAGAGTATCTTTGTCACATACTAAACGTCTATTTGTCAGCTTGCTTCGCATTTGGGCTGCGTTTGTTTTTAGGTATTTTAGTCGCTATCGCAATGTGGCATGTCAATTTATTTGTGAAAGAGAGAAAAATAACGCAGGTAAAAGTGTAAGCAGGTAGTAGAAAGGAAGAAATGGCAATAGCAATAGCTGGAACATAAAAGCGCCACAGATACGAGAGAGAGGAAGGCGAAAACAATGACAGCCTTAAGTTGCTTCCCATTCAGGTATATGGGTGTATGAAGGTGTGTGTGCGTGTGTATTAGTTCCATATGTGTGTGTGTGTATAATCGGGGGCGTGACTCGTATGTCTATGTTTATGTGTGTGTGATGGCAGCTTTAAGCACTAGCTGACTATGCCTACAAGGCAAAAGTAATCGATATTTATAGTTATGGTAATCGCAAAGCCCGCCCCGGCCTCCGATCCGCCTTCAGTAAGGAATATCACATTGTTGTTGCCCCAAAAGATAAGAAATAATATCGCACATTGGCATGAAAATATTTGCAGGCATATAGAAAATGTGTATCGTGTTTGCCTTCTCCTCCGGTTTCACCGGTTACCATTTTCACATTTCCCCCATGGGGAAAGTTATTCTGTTGTTGTTGCTTCTTCATGCTTCATTGTAACATTTGGTCTATAATCTGTCTGTTTTTAAAGCAAGCCACATTTCCATCTCTTTGGGGAATGCAGATGTGGCACAATATTGAGCCTGCCCGACCTTGCCACATTTAATACGACAGCCCAAAGAGACAACTGACAGCTTTAAAAGTCAGCTTTAATATCAACAAATTCAGCTTGACATTAATTCCCAATGACAGCACAACTAAAGAATAGCTTTTGTTAATTAAGATTAGGCTTGCGTTAATTGTGAGCAAGGGAAAAGGGTTACCAAAATAAGAAAGTGTTTCATTTTCATATTTTGTATTCAACACACAAATTTTCTGCTCAGGCAGCGCCCTTTCCAATTATTGGCAACATCTATTCAATTATTCGCTATAAATTACTCGGGCTCAGCAAACATCGTATTCTGCCAATGGCAAAGTTCTTGTAGACTTAGTTGCGGCTCAGCCAAATTTACAGAGATTATTTTCTAAATGTGTCTTACTTGGCACCTTGCCATGTTGCATTGAGAAAATTAGATAGCTTAGAAAATTTCACGTTTTAAGTTTAAGATTTAAAGCATCCATCCAAGTCTTATTTGATGTTACAATACTTATTTTTCTCTGTGCTCGAAATATTTAATAATAATGTCAGAAGCAGTGGCAAATTCTATCTGTAACATAGATTATGTTTTTTTATATTTTTTATTTGCAGTGAAGCGTACTTGTGAGTTGTTTGCAGGTCTCATTGAGTTGACTTTGACTACGCATTGACGTGAAACTGTATGCTTTAGCTGTTTAAGTTGAGCTCAGCTTATTCAGCTGATAATGTGCTGCATTATTGACAGTTTATTAAATTGATTTCGTTTCGAATTTAACAAACATGTCATGCTGCATCTACCTAGTCATCGTCCCAGTCACCGTCATCGTCATCATGCTTAACTTCATCATACGAGAGACTCACGCACAACTTGCCCTGACAAAAGCAGCTTCCAAACTCTCTAGGCATAGCCCAATTGGAACGATAGACAGCAAACTTGCGACTTTTTATTCGAAAGGAGCTGCCTGTTTGGGCACCACGTTAAGTGCTCATAAAATATTTGCAAATGTTTGCGTGCCCTGCGCCCCGACACAGGACACATTTTAAAGCTTACTCATATACTCTCACTGGCGTTGGGGAATGTCGATTTTATTTTATATTTTCTTTTTTGGATTCTAATGCTGTCAATTAGCTCTTGTAAATAGTTAAACGCTTTGTCAAACAATGCCCCATCCGCAGCAGTGGCTGAGTCCTGCAAATGGGCTCATCTCGACTAACTCAACACAACTTGGCCTCAGAAACTATAAACTGGTTGTTTTTGTTATATTTCTGGCTGTTGGTTTTTCACTCTTACGGTTTAAAAGTGGTCAGAAACTTCATGCGAAGGCCGCTCTCCGTGCGTGTCTATAAGTAATTGTGTAATATTTTAGTGTGTGTGTGTGTGTGTGTGGCTGCGTGTGGCTGTGTGTGTGGACTTTTATCTACAATAAACTCGGTCAGCCATCTGACAGAGAACTTTTGCTTTTGCTGTCGAGAAACTTTTAACAAATTCATTAGCCAAAAGCCATTTTACATTTGATATGCGAGAAATGAGAAATGCCACATAAAAAGTTTTGGATGGAAAACAATTGGAAAACTGGTCAAACAGTTGGGGGAATAAGAATAATATGTCACTTTGTGAAATATGCAAAAATCTAATATTACATGCTTGACCAAGAATATTTAGACAATTGAATGCCTAAAACAGAGTTCTGAAATTGCCAAATCAAAGCAATTGAAAATCAAATCAAATTTAGATGGCAATTCTAGAGGGAAACAACTTTGTTGCAGAGCATTTTCTGTTTAAGCTTTGCATAGATTCTTATTTAAGTCTTATATTCTAATCATCATTAACGGTTTTCCCCAGCAAGAATATACAAATATATAAGTTGCCAGCTTGTTGTTTCTGTGTTGGCTGTGAGCTGTTTGCACAGTCTCAGACTGTGGGGAAAGAAATCAAATACGAATATATATACATATATATATATATATACGTATATAAATATGCATATATACACTAGCAATGGGGTAAAGATGAAGTGTGCGGAAGTGCGAGAAGTGGGCAACATTTGTAGTGTTTTCTATATGAAGTATTTGCCAAGTAGGTGGCTCTGGTGTAAAACAGGAAATGAAGTATACTTTTAGGCACACTTCACGCACGCAAACCAACACCAAGCAACACACACACACACACACACACACGCACGCACACAGACACACACGCAAGCACACTTGCTGATACGTTTACATAAGCAGAGCGACGTGTGGAACGTACGAAATTGTTATTTATTTTTTGAAGTGCCTCGCCAGCTACCAGCTGTGAGTGTGCGTGTGAGTTTTCTATGAGCAGGTGTCCTCGATACTGTATCTGTAACTGTATCTGTATACACACACACACACACAGACAGACGCACAGACGCACACCCGCAGATACATTGGCAACACATCTAGTTTGCTATTCGTTGTCACATTTGCCAAATTTACCGTGTAATTATCAGTAAAAACGCTACAGAGAGACAGAGACAGAGACAGACACAGATCGAAGCAGTGAAACACCAGACAGAGACACACACAAAGAGAGAGAGAGCGAGAGAGAGAGAGAGATTGGGAGAGGGAGACGCGTTTAATGCTACCCAAAAATGCAACAAGAAATGCGCAAATAAAGCCTCTTCCCAAGCAGAGTAGAAATGCTGTCTGTTGATATGCAAATTTTGGCTACGTTTTCACATATGTGTGTATATGTGATTGTGTGTGTGTATATTGTGTGTGTGTGTGTGTCTGTTCCCTGCTGGCTTTGCTTGTTTGCCTAACTGGCATATTTGTTCAGCAATGGACCGTACCAACAACAGTCGAGCGGCTAAATGCTCGAATTTCATTTCGAATTTTCATTTTCATTTCCATATCATTTTTAGCCATTTTCACTAGTTTCACGTAACTCGTCGTTTTGGTTGACTGCATCGCTGCTACCAAAACAAATGCAATATGAGTTAATAAACCAACTGACAAGGCACACAGATGCCGCTTTTCGATTACAAAACACAATACACATATTCCTTAACGTATTAACATTTCATTTATTACAGCCAAACAATAATGCAATCAAATCATATTATTGCTTTATACAGTTTTTTATGTCAGATAATCTGCTAAATTGCGCATACGCCAACTGGTTCATGGTTATATTGTGTAATAGTATAATCAAACCAAATAAGTGTCCGAATGCATTCAAATTGAGTAATTTTTCAATTTGAACTAATCCGTTATCAAATAATGAAATCAACATTAAATGCATTGTGTCATTGGAATTAATTATGCATAAATATATATATATATATGTTGACTGCATGTCATGAAATACATATATATGTATATAAAGTATAGCTAAAACCTAAATGAATTGCATAAATAATTCATAGAAAAAATATGTATGCAATACAATTGACTTTCATGCCAGAGGGCTTGCCAAATTTAGCTGCTGCCAAATCGGATGTAATTGGCTTGCAATTGATAATCTGATTATAAAAATCATAAAATTTATTTGCTTCTGTTAAATCATTCAAAATCAAATGATAGTATGATAAAAACTCAAATAATTGATAAATTAATTCTTGATTTCATGTTTTTGTATGAACAGTTTTATTTATGTTAACAGTGCATTTGAGTCATTCAGTTGTAGAATATCTTTTCAGGCATTACAGCTCTCCAGCTGCTGCTCCCATTTCCCTTCAATTTCAATTGAAGAACCAACCCGAACAATACAAAATACTATTCGATACATAGTTGGGAAAAGAAAGAAAAAACAATAGCAATGCGGTTTTTACTACACTTTGCCTTTTACCCATTTTGCTTTACCCATTTATGAGTGAAGTGATTTCCGTTGTAGTTCCAGGACTCGTCGTGCTTCAAGCTTCAAGCTTGAGGCTCCAGCAAGCTGCAAGTTGCCGGCAAGTGCTTCGAGCGCCAGTGCATTCAATGGAGTGCACTTTCCGCAAGGAATACTTGAACCCCCCAAAGAAAAGACGCACAACAATAGTAAAATGCTTTGCATGGCTTTTGTTTGAATGCTCGCCACCGAGAAATTGTTGTTTTTGCCTACGTATTTGTCAGTTCATTGGCATTGTTCCCCATTTACATACAAAGCACTCTGAGTAGGATCCCATAACAACTCAGCTCTAAAATATTGCGATAAATTCATCTATTGTTATTTTAAAAGTCATCCATCAAATGAAGAGTGCAACGATTTTATTTACCAGCAAACAGATAATTTACACAAAATACACACGAGAATTTCAACAGTACTCGAATTTTTATAGCTGGAAAATATGATTGGGATGATAGCTGTGGGGATGGAGGGAGGTAGGTGTGTACGAACACACATTAATTGAGTAAGCTTAACTTTGAAGTGTTCATTTTGGAAATGCTTACATATCCTCGCGAGCAAAGCGCAAAGTTTCCAGCAAGCGAGACAGCGGATAAATTCCCGCACAAATGCGATAAATGACGGTGAATAGTGGAAATCTGTGAATGCAAGAAAACTCTACTTGGTTTCACCGGCTTATAGTTTTTTCTTTTTCGCCGTACTCACTTCTCCTCGAGTCCCTTCTTCTTGAGCATTATGTTAACCATCTCGGCGGTAATCGGACCCAGAGGCTCATGTCCCACAATGAGCATGTGCTCCAGTTCACTCAGAGGCTTGCCCGTCTTCACAAATGCCTCAGCCAGCTTTCGATTACGATTCGCTAGAAGTAGCAGCACATGAAAGACATAATATTCTGTATTGTAATAAATATACTACCATAGCAGCTGGTAACCAGATCGGATAAGCCACACGATTCGAAGAAGGTGGCCAAGCGACTGCCTGGATAAAAGACATCCACAAATTGCAGTGTCTCCAAAAAACCACGCCTTATAATACTAGCCTTGGTATTCTCATTCAAATCCATACCATCGGCAAGGCCAGCGCCAAATGCAATGACATTCTAAATGAAATATGAGTCAGCTATCTCGATAGTTACCTCGCAATAAGTGTGCAGAGGAAACTTCTGCCAGCAGTCTCTGCCAGAAACTCACCCTTAAAGTGGAACAGATTTCAACACAGTCGGCATCGTCAGTGACAACACAACGGAATGTTTCCGATTGAAAGAGATCATGCAATATGCGCATATGTTTCTGATCCCGACAACCGATGGTGCCCTCGGCAAAGTGATTGTTGGCGAGCTCATGTGCCAAATTGCATCCCACCAGCACCGAGCAGGAAATCTACTTAATGATATATAATTACATATTGCACACACTGCTCACCTTTAGTTGTCGCATTATGAGATGAGATATGAGAATAATTTGGCCGTCGTCGCCATGCTCGAATCCCTTGATTAGGGAGACTGCATGAGCCATTGGCTTCACTTTGCCGAGCAGCGTTTTGCAGCAGCTGTTCACAAATGTTGGTGGAATGGCAAAGATCAGGATGTCCGCGTCACGAGCTGTAGCTACCACATCATCATAAGCAACCTCAGTTCAGACAAAGTTAGACCTGGTAGCTGCATCTTTTGGCTTACTTACCACATTCGATGGCAACACATAGTCGGGCATATATTTCACATTGATATGTGTCGTGTTGATGATGTCAGTTAGCTTTCGGCCATCGATATATTCCTCGTACACATACATATTAACCTTGGGCTCCAATAGCTGTGACCGGGCCACATTGTTGCCCACATTCCTGGCTATAGTCGTGGCCCAATTGCCCGATCCAATAATGCAGACGTTCAAACGGTCAGTCATAGTTTAATAAGAACAAAAACAAAAAACAGAAAAAAAGAGTCGAGTTAAAACTGTATGTCAACTTTGTGTACAACTGACACATTTCCCCTTTTTGTACTTAATTCAAGTGTAATTTGTGTTTTAACATTGATTCAAATTGCAATTCCAGACTATAAGTACAATAATATTAAATTAATCATTTATATTTACATAAATTCATTTATTCCCACAGACACACACACACACACACACACGTGCTTATTGATTGACTGCTCTTCAAATAATTCATCAACGAATGCACACACAATATCAATGGACATAATTATATATGTTGTATATATGTGCCTGTGTGTGTTTCACCCACTCAGCCCAGGAGCCAGATAAGGGTGAACAATTACGCATACATCACGTTCGCCAAACTGGCTGGCAAATAATTAACTGTGGCCAGTTCGCTGGTCCATTCAGGCCAAAAATTTTATTGTGTACACATGAGGGCATCCGCATATTTTCTATATATATATATATACAATACACAGATGTATTTATATATCCGTTTAATATTGTTTACCACGTTAAATATATGAAGCTGCATTCATCGTACACATGTATTTATTTTATTAATTATGCTTCCGTTGAAAGTTCACTGCACAAGTGCACTGCTAATTTATGAGCTGCTGCAGCCGCAGCAGCAATGGGAAGTTAAGATGACAGTTGTAATAAATAAAATATCAAATTGCCAGAGTTGAAATGCAAAAGGTCCAAAAGCCAAAGTGAACGTTTTTTGCACTACCAGCGAAATCAATGTGGCAAGAAAGTAAACACTTTGAAATTGTGCACCAACAACGACTGTCATACGTAACGAATTGAACACACACACACATATACACGCACCATACACACACACACATATAGCCCTTCCGCCCAGCAACCCTTCGACCCGTCCGCGTTTCGTCCACTCGACTATGAAATCAAAATGGATGCTGGGCGAAATGAAAATGGAATTTTTAATGAGTTGGCTCGCTGGCAAAGGCCAAACGAGCAGGCAAAACAATTGCTGCCTGCGTGGACGTGGGCGTGGGCGAGAGCGTGGGCTGCTGCTGCACTTGTGTGGGCGTGGCTATCAAACAGACTGAATGAGAGCTAGGCAAGTTGCTATATGCGTATTTATTAAATATTAAAGCCCACCTATAGCCTTAATTAACTAATGGTATGCGAAATAATATCTATAACAGAATATTGGAATAGTTCACCCATTGCTGATCAGAGGCCAGTTTAAAGTGAATGCCTAATTTTGATTCGAAGCTTGTTATTTCATTCAGCAATCCAAACCAATCCATTTACTACCTCTCTTGTTTGGCTGATGGCTCCTTGAGTTGGCCAGATCAGCATGCTGAGATTACGAGCATTCCTCTGAGCATTTCGCTTGGCTTCAATTATGCTTGACACATGTTTATTATCTCATACAAAGTTGGCAACATAATTATTCTTGTTGCATTTAATATTACATCACTTAACTAATTTTATTCACGCATTTAATTCGGGGCATGCCACGCACTCCCAACGCACTCCAATTACACATGTGTAGGCATGCAGCAAAATTCTCACATCTGCTTGAGCCATAAAAAAAAAAAACAGGAAAAAAAGTGCGCATTAATTTAAGATTTTATTTTGTTGGTTGGCGCATAAGGAAAACTTAACATGGGCCGTTTCAGTTGGCATTATAGCCCCAGTTGGTGTCGGCTGAACGATCCACACATAAATTTGGCACGCATTTTTATGCATTTCTTTTCATTTTTACGTAATTTTTAATACCCTGTACTGCTTTACAACCGGCAGGTCGACTTAAAAGCAAACCAATTCGAAAGAAAATGTTGTAACTTATATTAGCATAAACAGAGAGAGTGAGAGAGAATTAGAAAGAGAGGGAAAGAAACTTTGTTTAAGTATTACAGAGTATCTGTCAGCTGATCAGCCTGTACTTTCTTCTGCTTATTTTTTACACTCTTGCAGTTCTTGGGTTCTGTGCCACTGTTTGCATTTTATTACATTTAGAGCTAATAAAACTTGCCACCTTCACAGTCCCCTTCGCCTTCCTATTACCCTCCTCGTTCCGCTGCCGTTTCTTAGTCTTCAACTAAGCGTTCGCATCAGATTCGCACAAGTTGCTTCAAAGGGGGGTTTACGCTTGAGGGGTGCCATAGGGGGAGCGAGGACGAGACGGAAGTTCATGTTTTGTACTACAAAGTTGAATCGTAAATAAAATGATGCCCGTGTGTGTCTTGTATGCGAGAACGTGATTTTGTCTGCGCGCAATGAAAGGAAAGTGAACTCCCTAACTAAAATCATAATTCTGGAAACGACGTTTAATAAACTTAAATAAAAAAACTAAAATATAGAAGTAGACTCAAGAAATTTTGGCTTGTGCTAGTTTCTTGTGTTTGCTTGTGTGCGAGAGAAGAGCACTCGCCGCTTTATGACTCATTTTTAGCACAGACACAGGCATGCGGATTGTTGGGCAAATTGCAGAGAAGCACACGGACAAGGACATGGACAAAGACGTGGACGTGGACATGGACATGGCCATGGACAATAGTAAATAATGTACGCACAACAAGTTGCATGCTAAAGTGAAAGTATTTCATCTCTCACTAATATACTAATCCTACTGGAAGGACAAACACAAATAGCCGACTTCTGAGTGAAGAGAGCACGTTGTGTGTTTTTGGCCATTTACAAGTAGCTTGCCATTAGATGGTTTGCTTGCAAGTTTTGTGCCCCGTTGTCGTTTCCTTCTGCTTCTTTCTTAAATGGCATTAAATTGCGCGGCAAGAAAAGTTTGACAAAAGTTTAAGACTGTGCCGAGTGAAAATCAGATACAGATACAGCTAGAGATACAGATACAAAAGCGCTAGCTCCGCCTGGGAATGATAGAAATAGGCATGCAATGGACTGAGAGAGGAGGGTGGGGGAGGCGGAGAAGGCAACAGCTAACTATGCTAAACTCCGACAGGGTGGCAAAGAATAAAATCAAGATAAACTACTCACAATATTTACTTTTAATTGGAGAAGTTCAAAGACTAAACAAATGCCAAAAGTGAAAGAGAGTGAGTAAAAAAAAAACAACAACAATAGGAAACTTTTGTCTTTAGCCACATCGATTGGGCACCGAGACCTAGATTAACACCGCATCAAAATGGGCTTTAACTTTAAACAAACTGTAAATACAGAAAGGTGGCCGTCGAAGAATATTTAACGTTTCGCCTGCTCGAAAATTAAAACGGAGACAATATTTTTCCACCGTTTGCTGTTTGCTGTTTGCCCTCATGCAAACGAGACAGGTCTGCAGTTCTCTTTTATCTCTCTCTCTCTCCCTCACTTTCTCCCTCTGTCTCTTTTTGTTTTCGTCGAAATGGTAATTAAAATATGGCCCAAAGATCTGGACCGTCCGCTGGGACCTACTCGTGGCGACGAGGTCAAATGCAATCAAAGTGCGCTCTTGTGGCGGCAAATCGTTCACTAATGCCTGAATCTGCTATATATATATATATGTATATATACATATAGTATATATATACTATATACATTAGTATATGTATGTATATTTATTTATATACATCTACTTTAACTTCTTTCACTTCAACACTGTCTGGATAGTCTTGGAGGAGTTGGGTAAAGAGAATTTTAATTGGATGAGCAGAATCTCAGCTTGTTTACCAGTTGCTCAACGCATCTGAACTGGAATACCGAAGAATTTGTGTTTAAAAAAACGAAAAAATAGCAATTTAACAAAAAATTGCCAACATACTTTTACAATCAAGATTGTTTTTTCGCAAAATACCAAATATATTCTCGAACAGCATCAAAATCCGACTCGATTTTGCAATGTCCATCTGTCTGTCCGTCTTAGTCTGGAAATTTGGAATAATCTTGATCATCTGCATAAATTAATCAAGATTTCAAAAAATGCAGAATTTGTTAATCAAAAGCATTTTAATAGTACAAAATAAAAATGTTGTTAGCTCTTTCACGAAAAGGCGAACTTTGATACGATCGCAGAAACTTGCAAGTGGATGTAATCTCATATCCTCCTCACAACAAGAGTATGTTCAATATATTCTTAATATTCTTGGCAATAGGAAAGAGGAATACAAAATACAAAAATAATCGAGCAAGTGACGCTGTTGCGTAAAGTGAACTTTAACATACTTCCTCCTTATCTTTCTATTCCCAAACCTATAATGATGTTGTTTATTTAAATACAGTTTATATATTTTGCTGTAATAATCATAATTTTGCAATTTAATTTTAAGCACACCTTTCAACTTTTCGCATACGAAATGAAGTCTATTTAAAGAGCAATCCCGCTGCTCTCGCCGTTGCCTTCGGGGGCCTCTTTAAGGCCACTTTGCCCGTGGCGTCTGTTGAGGCAGCTTTGCAGTGGAACTGAAACTGTGTCAACGGAGCTATTTGCGCCAAACTGCTGCTACTTACTTCAATTTTTTTTCTGCTTCGCTGATGGTGACATAAATATGTATGTCTATTAAAGCTACCTGAAACCCATAGACACCCTCAACCAGCCAAACTCCTGCCACCACCCCCAAACCAAACCAAACGACTTCATTTTCAGGTAGCAACTGCGTTGCTCATAAATGTAAACTTTTTCGGCTAGTTTCGTGTAATTATTGCTTGTGCCCGGCGAACTGAGTAATGGTTATGGGTTGGCTGAGATGGGTGTGGAAAGCGGGACTAGAGCATCGATGTAGACTGGCATATGATGAGTTTTTGGCCAATTTCCATGGCCGCGTCGCAGAATCAACAGACTGTGACATTTTTCACGCAGCTTTTGCGTTTGAGTTGATTGCCAATTTAATCGGCACACAATTTCCGCGCACCGATGAGGGGGCGGACTGAGTGACGATTAGTAGGTGGGCGTGGCGGCAAAATGCGATATATATATATATATACATATTTATTTATTTATTTAAATGTACATATATATTGTATACAATTCACAAGCATGCATCGCCAGCTTTTGCCGCGTAGAAGATCTTTGCAA